TAAAAGGATGCAAATGACCAGCTGTCTGCAAGGAGTATCAATCCTTCCATTCCACACCATCCAAGTCAGAACTGAGGAAGCTTCTTGGATGAGTAGCGAAAGGTCTTCAAAGAAAAAACCAGAAAGTCTGGTTGCCTCTTAGGAAAAAAAAAAGCACATTTAGGACAACCAGAACCTGGATGACCGAGAATCTCCGTAGACATTCGCAGAAGGAGAAGAGGATGGCAGAGGAGGAGATGGTTAGATAGGTTCATCATCGATCAGTGGTGGGATGCTGCTTGTTTAACAACCGTTTTGGTGAGTGCGCGTGTGCCTAAGACGCTTGTGCACAGCGCTGAAAATAGAGCATTTAGAAGCTCAGCTGCTTCCCTTCCAAGTCAGCAACGGTAAGTAGAACAGCGACGGGGAGGGAGAAATCAGCTGTGCGCCATGATTGAGATGAGCTACAAAGCAGGAAATAACGGACAGGATAGAGCGGGGACGGGTGGGTGGGGCCAACTGATCCAGGGGTGAAATCTACTTACCTTCCCTACCAGTTCGGAAGTGCACGCATGTGCAGAGGGTAAAAAACAGCTTATTTCCTCATTAAAACCAGGAAGTAACAACGACTGGGTGGGTAGATGGAGCCTCGCACAGCCGTCACTATCGGTTCTTCAAACCACCCACCACTATCGCTACTGGTTTGGTCGAACCGGTCCGAGCCGGTAGCATTTCACCCCTGAACTGATCGTCGGCGCTACCAGTTCACAAGAATCGGTCCGAACCGGCTGAATTCCACCTCTGTCCTCGAAGCAACGAACAGGAATTTGGCCGAACTCTGGAGACAATGGCGTGCTACGGAGTCACGAGGAGTCAAACACAACTTAGCAACTGAACAACAAAGGTGCTAAAATTGGGGTTATACTGTACTTAGGGGCTAAAGTACCTGCAATGGTAGAATTCCATTTTAGGAACCTCTTACCTCTTTTTTTTTTTTTTTTTAAACAATAATAAATACTGGAAATGTGCAAATCGGAGCTTTTGATGCTTCGTTCACCCAAAGTCCCCAATTTTAAACCTGCCTCGAATCCGCAACGAGAGATGGAAGGAAGTCTACGGTTGGGTTGAGGTCATTTGGCTCCCGGCCACGAGTTGGGTGGATGTGATTTTTACCCTCGTTTTCTACTACATCGGACCTTTTCCTTCCTCGGGGGCCCACCACAATCATTCATTTGGGGTAGGGGAAACTTTTGTTGGGGGAAAAAATGTCATGTTTTTCTCCCTCGGCCAGCGAGCGATTCCAGGACGTGATTTAATACATCTGGAGGGAATTAAATGGAGAGGAGTGGGCTGCCCAAAGCTTTCCATGTCGGAAAATAAAACCCCATTTTTTCCTTTTTTTTTTTTAATGGCTGGCACACTCACGTTTTGGAAAAGAAGAGAGCGTGGCATTCATTAAAACGCGGAGAGAGGGTCAGGAATTTCCAAAGAAAAGTAAAACAACGGCGTGGAACATTATTTCCACCGGCAACATGCTTCCCCTGTTTTTATTATGTCAAACAATTTTTGTCTGGGGCGGGGGGGCGTGGCGGAGAACTTGCCCATTGTGTGGAAAATTACTCAAAAAATGAAGCTTGGTCAGTCCTCGGCTTACGACCACAAATGAGCCCAACGTTTCTGTTGCTGACAGGCAGGTAGATAGTTATTCCTATTTATCTATATATATGCAGGTAGTCCTCGACTTACCACCACAATTGAGCTCCAAAATATCTGTTGCTGAATCATTTTTTTTTCCTCATTGAACAACCTTCCCCCCCCACCCGTTGTTAAGCGAAGCACCGCGGTCGTGAAGTCAGTCACACAGTTTTTAAGCAAATCTGGCTTCCCCACAGACATCAGAAAGGGGATCATGTGACACGTCCAGGACGCTGTGACTGTAAATACGAGTCAGTTGCCAGTTTGATCATGTGACCACGGGGATGCTTTGACGGTCGTAAGTGTGAAATTGCAAAAAAAAAATATGCTGGGTGTTGAAGCCAGTTCAGAGTCAAACACCGCATGCTAGGTTTGATCGCCTGGGTGGGAACTAAATTTGACGTTGCTATAGTGTGATTGACAGATGTCTTCCCCGTCGGCTGATGACATGATGAACCTGGAAAATGGGAAAGCCATTTGCGCATCGTCTTCCAACTTATGACCCACAACTGAGCCCAAAATTTAGTACAACGCTTCTGTGGCTAAGCGAGACACTTGTTCAATGAGTTTTGTCCCATTTTGCGAACTTTCACTGCAGTTGCTAAGATCGTATCATGGTTGTTAAGTCAATCTGCCTTCCCCTTGCTGCTCAGAAGGTCGCAAAATAGGGATCACGTGAGCCCAGGATAACATCATAAACACACACCGGTTTGCAAAGCATCCAAATTTTGATCATGAGACCAGGGAGAGGCTTGCACTGGTCGTGTGAAAACGGTCAGATATTTTTTGAGTACCATTGTAATTTCAAATGGTCACTAAATGAGCCGTTGTAAATTGAGGACTACCTGTATTTGGCCTTTCAGACTGCCCATCCTGAATCAGGACAGCACTGTTCGGCCATCACTGGAAACAGCGAGGGTGTCAGCATTCTGATGCTGCCATAAAAAGGAGGAGACGAGGCTTGACTTTTCACCTACTTATTTTCTCTGTAGATAATATCCCCTAGGAGATAGGATGGGAGGGGGACATTCTTGTGGGCTGAGGTCAGAAGCTGGGGAGACTGGCTTGGAAGATGGCCAATGAGAAGATGAGAATTGGGGAACAGAAAGGGAAGGGTTTGGGGGTCAGAGGGTTAGTATCGGCTACGACGAAGTCGGGGCCAGATCTGTCGTACTCAATAAATGGAATATTTCAGCAAAGATTAATTGTTTGGGAGTGCAATTTATTTGAGATGACATCGAAACCTGACAGAGGGATTTTCAAGTGACTTTATTGTCATTTTGAATATACGCTAATTGGCGTACATTAAAATGAAGTTTCATTGTGTACAGCTCTCCAAAAGGTGACCCCCCCCAATATACACAACATGAACATGACAAAAGAAATAAATACAAAATTATGCATATACCTACATATGTTATATGATGCAGAGAAACAATGCAGTCTAGTTTGGATGTATACATGTACATGGCAAGAGAAACAAATCTTGCAAGTTTACCAGACGGATGGCTAGGGAACAAAGCTATTACATAATCTGGTAATCCTGCTAGAAATACTCCGAAACCCCCTCCCAGAGGGGGAGCAACAGAAACAGACCGTGAAGTTGGGTGTGTGGGGTCTCTAACAATGCTTTGAGCTCTAAGAGCATAGCGCTTATAAGCAGTATCCTGAATAACGGGAAGCAAGCTTCCTATAATCTCCACTGTCCTCACCACTCTCTGTAGGGACTTTCTATCTGAGGCACTGCTGCCACCAAACCAAATAGGGATGCAGTTTCTTGAAACGCTCTCCATCGTGTCTCTGTAAAAAGTGGCCAGGACAGAAGGAGAAAGAGGTGCTCTCCTCATCCGATGCAGGAAATGCAGTCGCTGGTTTGCGCGCTTCACTAAAGATGACGTGCGGAGACACCAGTTCAGATTGTTAGTTATCTGCAACTGCAGATACTTAATGCTGTTGGACCACCTCTACAGCTGCATCCTTGCAAGCAACATGATTTTCTGCAAAGGAGAGTGAACGCAGAACAGAGGAGGCAAAATTAGCACGCTCGGTTTGAATTAGAACAGCGCTTGAAGAATTTTAAACACGCCGGCATACCCGCTGACTCGTTCGCTTTTTCCATCTTGCGTCCACATGGAAAGTTCCAAACTTCTGCCTCTTCTCAGGAACTCTTCATTTCATTACATCTTTTTTTAACCTATTCGCTGCTACGTGGGAGTAAGATAATTTTGTCAGGAGAACCGTTGACAATACGTAAAGCCTGAAGTACAGATACCATTCCGTTTACAACCATTTGTTTAGTGACTGTTCGAAGTTACCACATCCTTTTAAAAAATGACTTATGACCAGTTTTCACACAACTGTTTCACCATCCCCATTGTCATGTGATCAAAATTCCTACGCTTGGAAACTGGCAGTGGTGGGATTCAACCGGTTCGTACCACTTCGGCCGAACCGGTTGTTAAATTGTTGGCTCTCCCCTCCCCTCCCAGAAGTCCCCACATGCCCCATTTTGGCTCCCATGTAAGTGCAGGGAGGCCTACTAGGCCCCAAATGGGGCGTGGGGTGGTGCGTCTCGCCCCCTCGTGGCCCGTTTTTGCTCCCAGGAGGCTGTAGGGAGGCCTACTAGGCCCAAAATGGGGCGCGGGGCAGTGCGGCTCACCCCCTTGCAGCCCGGTTTTGCTCCTAGGAGGCTGCAGGGAGGCCTACTAGGCCCAAAATGGGGCACAGAGGGGAACGCCACCCCCCCGGCCCATTTTTGCTCCCAGGGGGGTGCAGGAGGCTGAGTGCTGCCTGTCACACCCTCTAGCCACACCCACCATAGCCACGCCCACCCAGCCAGTCATTAGGGCAGAGAACCGGTTGTTAAATTATTTGAATCTCACCACTGGAAACTGGCATGTACTTATGGCGGTTGCAGTGTCCCGGGGTGACGTGATCCCCTTTTGTGACGTTCCAATAAGCAAAGTCAAGGGGAAAGCTGGATTCACTTAACAACCGTGTTATGAACTGCACAATTGCCTCGATTCACATAACCACTGTGGCAAGAAAGGTTGTTCAAAATGTCCGTTTAACAACTGTTCGACTTGGCAGCAGAAATTCTGGGCTCAATTGTGGTCATAAGTTGTGGATTACTTGTATATTCAATTCTGGTTAGAAGAGCTGAAGTTGAAGACATTGAAAATTTAGCACGGATTACCTTCTATGTACTTCTGGAAGCCTACCTTCCCTACGTGATGTTTTCTCAAACCGACCGACCCACATCCGCGCCTGGAGGGTGAGGAGTGATCTTTCTCGTTCCTACCCCACGTCTTCATCCTCCACCAGATTTTCCTGTTTCTACAAGGAGGATGAGTTGTGTTTGTTGTGTTTGAGAAGAACGACTGACGTGGGTGTGGGATCCGAGAAGCAACATGGCCAACCGACTCTCGGAGGACGACATTAGGGAACTCAAAGGTGCCTTTGCGCTCTTCGACCAAGATGGCGACGGGCTGATCACCTCCAAGGAGGTGGTGACCGTGATGAGATCCCTCGGGAAAAATCCCACGGAATCTGAGGTACGAAGCATCATCGGTGAGATAGAGGCCCACAAGAGCAAGGTAGATTTCCCAAGGTTCCTCTCCGTGATGGCCAGGAGGACAAGGAATTCCGACACCGAGGAGGAGATCCGAGCGGCTTTCCGCGTGTTTGACCGGAATGGAGACGGCTACATCAACACGGCAGAACTGCGACATGTCTTGACCGTCGTCGGGGAGAAGCTGACCGACGAAGAGGTGAAGCTGTTGTTCAAGGAGATGGACAAAAATGGGGACGGGAAGGTCAACTATGAAGAATTAGCGCGAATCATGGTGGAGAAGTAATGTCAAGGTACAATTTCTTTTTAAGTTGGTGACAATTCCAGGGTTCTTTTGTGAAACAGATGTTTGGGATGGCCACTGTATGTCCAATAATTAGAGGATAAGTCCAAAATATACAACAGAATACATAATAACCGAGTTGGAAGGGACCTTGGAGGTCTTCTAGTCCAACCCCCTATTCAAGTAGGAGGCCCTATACCCGTGACGGTGAACCTATGGCACGCGTGCCCGGGGTAACACGCAGAGCCATCTTTCCAGGCATGCAAGCTGTCGCCCAACTCACCTGTGGCTGCGCATGTGCGCATGTCCCAGCTGGTGTTCGGGCCTCTGGTGCACATGCACACAATTCAGGGGCCCCAGCTGGTCTTCGGAGCTCTCCTGCGCATGTGTGCACATTTGTACATGCCCGCAAGAGTACTTTTGTGCTAGCGTAGATGGCATTTGCGCACATGCATTGCACGCGTGGAAACCAACTGCATGTGCAGATGATGCGATTGCATGCATAGCGCACGGAGGGAGCTGCATGAAACCTGCACGCATACGCAGATGTGACGTGAAGCGTACAAAGTGCGTACCTGTTTGGTGGATCTGTCTTTAATGACCTTCCATCCATTGTCTCTCCTTCCTTCCTTCCTTCCTTCCTTCCTTCCTTCCTTCCTTCCTTCCTTCCTTCCTTCCTATCATAGGGCTGGAAGGGACCTTAGAGGTCTTCTAGTCTAACCCCATGCTCAAGCAGGAGACCCTATACCAGTGATGGCTAACCTTTTTGCCATCGTGTGCCAGGAAGGGGGGGCGGGGGAGGTTCGCGCATGATCGTGCCCACACACATAATTCTATGCGCCCCACCCCATGCATGCGCGAGCAACCCCCCCTCCCCGCTCCTGGCACGTGATGGCCCAGTAGGCCCATTTTTTTTTCTCACCTGCCTCCAGATCCTCTCTATGCATCTGGGGAGGGTGAAAACAGCCTTCCCCACCTCCTCAGAGGCCCTCCAGAGGCCCGAAACAGCCTGTTTCCCAACTTTTCGTTGGACAGGAAGTGACGTTTTTTGCTGTCCCCAGCCTCCAGAGGCCTCCGAGGGGGTGGGGAAGGCTGTTTTCGCCCTCCCCAGATGCATAGAGAGGATCTGGAGCCAGGTGAGAAAGAAAAACTGGCCTTCCCCACCCCCCCAGGTCCTCCGGAGGCAGGAAACAGCCTGTTTCCCTATTTCTGGTGGGCCCAGAAGACGCGTGCCAGAGCTGAGCTGGTGTGCCAGGTGACATGGCTCCGTGTGCCACCTCTGGCACATGTGTCATAGGTTTGCCATCACGGCCCTATACCATTCAGGACAAATGGCTGCCAATCTCTTCTTAAGAACCTCTAGTGGTGGGGCACCCATTTCTTTAGCAACAGATCTGTCTAATCAGTAAAACCCAAAATCAAAGTTTCATTTTTTTCCCCACCCCAAGCACAAAGTCCAGAAACGGTTTCCAAGTAGAAGCAAAAGCAATTGTGTGTTTTTTTCTTTTATCAAAGCAGTTGATTGTTTTGCTATGGAGTTTGTAACTGTTGTCGTGTTGTACTCTACCCAGAGTCACATGTTTGTGAGATGTTTGCGGCTACATAAATATGCTGAATAAATAAACACAAGTTGTTTACAAAAGATGATTTGAACTTGAAACGTTTCAAATTTGAAACAGGAGTCCAGCAGGCATGGAACTCTTCCATAGTCAGAACAATGCCAGGATTCTTCCATTAAAGTTGGAAACTTCCAAGACATATCGACCTCAAGCGTGATTCATATTCAAAATGTTTTGCACACCTCGGTGTTCAATCCAACACTTGATTGTAAACCAAGGGTAATCCAGAGTGGAGAAATAGTAGGGTAATCTCAAAATTTACACAGTAGGCAGGACTATAAGCAGTTCATCAAACTCACAAGGTAGAAAGAACAATAATATATATTGAAGAAAAATTGGGATACTATAATGAAGGAATTTTAGCAACTGCTGTGTTTCAGGAATTAATGTTAGATCATTTTTTTTTTCTGAATCTCGGCACCTTTAAGATGTGTGGACTTCAATTCCAACAGCATGCTGGGAACTGAACTTCCGCACATCTTAAAAGTTGCTAAGATTCAGAAACATTGCCTAGAAACAATACTTAGACTTGGAACATAGAACATAGGGACCTCAGAGGTCTTCTAGTCCAACCCGCTGCTCAAGCAACCCAACAGTTGAATGAAAAGCCAAGGGATAACCCAGAGTGGAAAAATGGTAGGGCCTGGCATGGCCTAATTGGTCTCCTACACCATGACAGGGAGGGAGGTGTTTTTGCCCTTCCCAGGCTCCGGAGGCTTTTCTTAAGCTTCTGAGAGGGCGAAAATGGCCTCCCCAGGCTCCAGAGGCCTTTCCCGAACTTCCGGTAGGCCCATTTTTCGCCCTCCCTGAGCCTATGCATCAGTGGTGGGTTGCCCCCGGTTCGCCCCAGTTCTATAGAACCGGTAGTAAAACCGGAGGGAGGCTCTCCCCACCGACCCCGACGTCATCAAAATGCTTCTGCGCTTGCGCAGAGGAGTGCACGCACGTTAGAGTGAAGCGAGTGCGAGCGTGCGACCCCGCTGCGAACCGGTAGTAAAGGTAAGTAGAACCCACCCCTGGTACTCTCAAACATTCACATAGTAGGCAGGACTATAAACAGTTCGTTAAGCTCACAAGGTAGAAAGAACAATAATATATATTGCCTAGATCAGGGGTCTGCAAACTTACACACTCAAAGAGCCATTTGGACTCATTTCCCACAGAAAAGAAAACTCCGGGAGCCACAAAACCCTTCCCGTGCCTGACTGTTTCTTGAGCGGCCACAAAACTGGCATACGTAGTTGAATTAAACGTTCTGTTTTCTTCTGAAACTTTTCTTTTCTTGGATTTATCCATGGTTGGCCTACCGGGGGTTGAAAAGCTCAATAAATCGCGTGCTGGCAGGTGTCACACATTGGCGGTTGTGATGCCTATTTTGAGTGACAGGGAGCCGCAGCAGAGGGGTGAAAGAGCCACATGCACAGAAGCGGCATTGGTCGCGTTGGTTGATGATCTCTGGAGGGCTCGGGACAGGGGTTGCTCCTCTGTCCTGATCCTATTAGACCTCTCAGCGGCTTTTGATACCATCGGCCATGGTATCATGCTGCACCGGTTGGAAGAGTTGGGGGTGAGAGGCACCGTCCTACGGTGGTTCTCCTCCTTTCTCTCTGACCGGTCGCAGTCTGTGTTGGCAGGGGGGCAGAGGTTGACCCCGAGGCCCCTCATATGTGGGGTGCCACAAGAGTCGGTCCTCTCGCCCCTTTTGTTCAACATTTATGTAAAGCCGCTGGGCGAGATCATCCGTGGTTTCGGGGTGAAGTACCACCAGTATGCTGACGACACTCAGCTGTACATCTCCACCCCGGACCACCCCAACGATGCCCTTGAAGTGAAGTCCCGGTGCCTGGATACTTAGACTTGGAAGACAGAACATAGGGACCTCAGAGGGCTACTAGTCCAACCCCCTGCTCAAGCAGGAGAACTTATACCAATCGTATGCTATTATTTTCTAAGTATTGGACTGCCCAGGTGACTTTCTGGTGTGCACTCCTTCTGATCCAACATATTGTTTTTACTGACTGTGAGAAATGATGCTCCCAGGTAAGAATAAAGGGGGATGTAACCAAGGGTGGGCTGTCAGGGTTCACAGGGGTTTGGGAGAACCTGTAGCTAAGATTCTGTGCAGTTCGGAGAACCCCCAAATCCCACTCCTGGCTTAACCCTAACCCTGGCTTACTTCGGCCACCATCTTTCCTGCAACCTTCTCATCCATCCATCCATCCATCCATCCACTTTATATGCCACCCATTTGACTTACAACAGAGTAAACACGATGCGATCAAACACGAAAACATTAAGGTCATAAATATTGATGCTAAAATTAATATTAATAGTAAGAACAATGGCAAGGAAGGGAGGAAGGTACAAAGAGGTGAAGGTAGAATCTTTATGGGGCCAGAGACTGTAGTTTATCGTTGTTTATTTCTTTGTTTAGCCATTACATTAGGACCGATGTTGAAAAGGGAAGAAAACATGATAGTTGGAAGATAAAAGGAGAGGATAAATTGTCGTTCAATCCGAATCCTGATCAATTACTAAACCCAACATCTAGTGGTGGGATTCAAATAATTTAACAACTGGTTCTCTGCCCTAATGACCAGCTGGGTAAGTGTGGCTCGATGGTCATGTGACCGTGTGGGCGTGGCCAACTCAACGTCACTCACGTTGATGGGCGCTTCGTCTTAGCTGTTACAATGTAATAAGAGTTAACCAGAGAGGCAGTTTCTGTAAGCAGGGCAATAAAGATTAGGCTAGAAACACCAGCAGAATGTTTCCTCCCTGCCTTCCTTACAGGATTAGCCCTATAAAGTGGGGAAAAAAACAAAATAAGATTTCTTCCAACAACCGGTTCTCCAGACTGCTTAGAAAGTTAACAACCGGTTCTCCCGAATAGGTGCGAACTGGCTGAATCCCACCATATCAACATCGCAGTAAACACTTGCAGGACAGATACAATTGCGAAGATCAATCCAGCCCAGATTTTGGTATTTCATTACAGATAATCCTTGATGTACAACCACAACTAAACCCAAAATTCATGTTGCTAAGCAAGACATTTGTTAAGTGAGTTTTACCTTATTTTACGACCTTCCTGGCCACTGTTGTTAAATGAATCACGGCCGTTGTTAAGTTAGTAACCCGGTTGTTAAGTGAACAATCGGTCACTAAACGAATTGTTGTAAATCGAGGACTACCTGTAGTGACTAGTCAATTGCCTCTAAAAAACCACTTCCAGGATTATGAATCCAGATCTTGCTTATTCTTACCTGCAGGAACAGAGAGGTAAACTGCTTTTGAACCTGGAAGCTCCATTCAATTATTATGACTAATAACAAATACAGATAGTCCTTGCTTAATCACTTAGCAGATATTCAAAGTTATGATGGACTTCAACAGAGCTACTTACAAGCCCTGTTCTGGAGGGCCACCTCCCCCGTGTGATCACATTTTGTGTCTTTGACAACCAACTCACATTTGTTTGTGGTGTCCTGCGGTCGTGTGACTACACAATTTTTCATGTATGCTTCCAGTTTCCCGCAAAAGAACCAGCCATTGAGTAAAACAGATTTGCTTAATCATCACTGCAAAAATAGTCATAAAATTGGCATAAATTGGTTATGCGGTGACCCACTCAATGACTGCAATTCCAGGCTCCGTTATGGCCATAAATCAAGGACTACCCATAATGCGTCTATTGCAGTTCCGTAACCTGATCCACCCGTCAAGATTTAACTTGGTGTTTTTCAACCTTGGCAACTTTAAAGTGCTGTGGACTTCGACTCCCAGAATTCCCCAGACAGCATAACTACTTATTGAAACAAATTCATTCCTACACCATCCCTGCCAGTTGACAATCTGGCTTCTGCCTACAAGGAAGAGAGCCATTATCTTTAAAAACACATTCTTTCCCTGTTCTCTAATCGTTCAGCCATCAGGAATTAGTTTCAACGCCTCAGCACAATTTACGCCTATCGCTCACTTTGGAATCTCCATTTCCATATTGTTGTGATGTTTCAGTTGAGTATTAATTATAAACTCTGGCCAGGAGTAATCATTACAAGAGATAACCTTCCCGGAGGAGCACACCCTCCCACTCAAAGAGTATCTTCTACACGCCGAGAAGGGACACCATTGGAAGGTACCGAAGATCGAGATTGTTAGAGAACTAAAAGAGAGGAATGCGAAGTGGGTTTATTTGGCCGAGGTTAAAATAGATGCATTGCTATCACTAGTGAGCCTTAGTGGATTTTTTGCTGACAGCAGGATTGAAATGACCAAGCTGTAAAGATTTATTTATATATATAAAAAAGAGATGGGATAGAGGAAGAAGAGAGCATTTGTTGTGTTTTAAGAGACGTTGAGAAGTTATCAACATGGTCTATACTTGTGAAGAAGAGAGAAGTCATTTTGTTTCTTTGCCTTTACTGTAGTAGTCTTTCCAAATTTGATAAATAAAAAATAAATATAATATATTTCTTGTATTTTTTTTTCTTTTCCACTTTCCTTTTTGGCACTAATTTTCTTTTTTAGTTTCTACAGGTAGTCCTCGATTTACAACCCTTCTTTTAATAACCGTTCGAAGTTACAACAGGGCTGGGGAAAAGGTGACTTATAACCTTTTTCACACTTATGACTGTTGCAGAATCCCCACCGTCACATGATCCAAATCCAGACACTAGGCAACTGGCGTGTACTTATGACGGTTGGGGTGTCCCGAGATCACGCGATTCCCTTTTGCGGCCTTCTGACAGGCAAAATCAACGGGGAAACCAGATTCCAGGTTACTAACTTAACAACTGTAATGATCCCCTTAGCAACTGTGGCAAGAAAGGTCGTAAAACGGAGGCAAAACTCACTTAACAACCGTCCTGCTTAGCGACCAAAATCCGGGGCTCGATTGTGGACGTACGTCGAGGACTACCTGGAATAGTTTTCATTTTTTTGTAATTGCCGTTTTTTTAATTAAAAAGAAAATCATAAAATAAAGGTAAGAGAAGGAGCGTTTGAAGGCCATTAGATAATTGTACGCCGTTGGCTTCATGAGAACATCAGGGTTAGAGTAAGTATCCTGATGTCACACACATCCAGGCTTGTTAAGCAACGAAAATTAAGCTGTCCTGACCTTCCACTCATACTTGAGGTTGCCATGGACTGTGGGATACCATACCTCCTACCTCATCAACCAACCCAACCACAATCCATCTTCTACCTACCTTGTGGCACGCTAGCATTCCAGCAGGTTCCTCAGCCCCAAAACTGGGCCTGAAACCACAAGCAGGGTGGAGACCGGACTTGTGGGCCTCTTGTCTCCTATTAACAGACTCCAGATTTTCCTGTCTCGCCAGAGAGAAACCCAAGAGTGTGCTCCTCTTGACGAGAGACACACAACGTTGGGTGCAACGCGACCGGCAAGATGTCCCATGAGTTCACCGAAGCTGAGATAGGTGTCTTCAAGGAGGCCTTCTCCCATTTTGACTTGGACGGCGATGGAGTCATCACCAAGAAGGAGTTGGGGACCATCATGCGATCCCTAGAGCACGTTCTCCTCCACCTTCAGGAGGGCTTCACCGATGAGATGGTGGAGGAGATGCTGAAGGAGGCTGACCTGGATGAAGACGGGAAGGTCACCTTTGAGGAGTTTCTGAAGATGTTGGCCAAGAAGGAGGCATTGTGATGAAGGAGACCCTCCCCCAGATCTTCTCGTCTTGGTACAGTGAGGAAGACAGGGGAACTGGGATAACCAACGAGGATGTTTCTAGGGTGTATTGTGGTTTGGGCGAAACCTGGTTTCCTGGCTTCTCTCTTTCTCCTTTCTCCTTTCTCTTTCCCTCTTTCTCTCTTGACTATTTCTTTTTCTTTCTTTTTTTTTTTAAACAAGTTTTATTGGTTTTTTCTCCTCTCCCACATTCACCCACATCTTTTCTTTTTCTTTTTTTTAACAGAGTGTTGGCCGTTTCTTAACTTATACAATTAATCAAATTCAAATACATTTTACTCAATTACAATTTTTGCCAAAATCGTCTTTCCCCACTTTTCTTTTCTTTTTTTTAAACATATCTCAATATTTCTATACTGGCATACATAAACACCATCTTCATTTGTCCCTAGATTCTAACTTTACTATTTATTCATATTTATTCTCTCTTTTTTTAAAATTTGATTTATATGCCGCCCTTCTCCGGAGACTCAGGGCGGCTTACAATGCGCTAAGCAATAGCCTTCATCCTTTTGTATATTTATACAAAGTCAGCTTATTGCCCCCACAAACTGGGTCCTCATTTCACCTACCTTAGAAAGGATGGAAGGCTGAGTCAACCTTGAGCCTGGCGAGATTCGAACCTGCAGTAATTGCAGGCAGCTGGTCTTAATAACAGGGTGCTTTAAACCACTGTACTACCAATGCTCTTGAACAGTTTGTTCTTAAACAGTTCATTCTTTATCTTAATATATTTGTATTTGTTTGTTCGGAGTTGCCTTTCTTCCATTTCATCTTTTTTATTGTACCGCAATCTTTCTCCTCAAACCTTCCCTCTCTTTCCCTCTTTCTCTCTTGACCATTTCTTCTGCATTCCAGATATACTGGAAACGGTGAATAGACTAAAAAATGTAATAGAATAGAATGGAATGGAATGGAATAGAAGAATGGAATAGAAGAATGGAATAGAAGAATAGAATGGAATGGAAGTTTAGTTTAGTTTAGTTTAGTTTAGTTTAGTTTAGTTTAGTTTAGTTTATTTGATTTGTATACCGCCCTACTCCCGAAGGACTCAGGGCGGTGAACAGCCAACAATAAAATACATAAATACACAAAATTTAAAAACCCGATAAAATCAAATTAAATTATTTGGCCCAGACAAATTAAAATACCCCAATAATTTAAAAACAGATTAAAATTTATATATTTAAAAAGGGAAGAGATTAGGCCAAGCCCGCTTGATGGAATAAAAAGGTCTTCACAGCACGGCGGAAGGAGCGCAGATCTGGGATCCTCCGTATCTCCGGGGGGAGCTCATTCCAGACGGTAGGTGCCCCCACAGAGAAGGCTCTCCCCCTGGGGGCCACCAGTCGGCATTCTTTGGCTGACGGCACCCGGAGGAGCCCCTCTCTATGGGAGCGTACCGGCCAGTGGGAGGCTATTGGTGGTAGCAGGCGGTCCCATAAATAACCAGGCCCTAAGCCACGGAGCGCTTTAAAGGTGGTAACCAAAACCTTGAAGCGCACCCGGAAGACCACCGGGAGCCAGTGCAGCTCGCGCAGGAGAGGTGTCACATGGGAACGCCATGTCGCTCCCATTACCACCCGCGCGGCCGCACTCTGCGCCAGTTGGAGCCTCCGGGTGCTCCTCAAGGGGAGCCCCATGTAGAGAGCGTTACAATAGTCCAGGCGGGAGGTGACGAGGGCATGAGTGACCGTGCGTAACGAGTCCCGATCCAGAAAGGGACGCAACTGGCGAATCAGGCGGACCTGATAAAAAATCCTCCCGGTCACGGCCGAAGAATGGAATAGAAGAATAGAATGGAATGGAATGGAATGGAATGGAATGGAAGAATAGAATAGAATAGAATAGAATAGAATAGAATAGAATAGAATAGAATAGAATAGAATAGAATAGAATAGAATAGAATATAGAGTGGAGTGGAGTGGAGTGGAGTGGAGTGGAGTGGAGTGGAGTGGAGTGGAGTGGAGTGGAGTAGAGTAGAGTAGAGTAGAGTAGAGTAGAGTAGAGTAGAGTAGAGTAGAGTAGAGTAGAGTAGAGTAGAGTAGAGTAGAGTAGAGTAGAGTAGAATAACAGAGTTCGAAGGGACCTTGGAGGTCTTCTAGTCCAACCCCCTGCTTAGGTGGGAAACCCAAATCCAGATTCACTTAACAACCGTGTGGCTCACTTAATGACTGGAAGGATTCACTTAACAACTGTAGTAAGGAAGGTTGTAAAATGGGGCAAAACTCACTCAACAAATGTCTCGCTTAGCGACGTAAAGCTTGGGCTCAATTTTGAGGATTATCTCTCATTAATTTATGCAATTCTGAGGCATCTCCTGAGAAGGGAGGAGTGGGGAAATGTTCAAAAAACGATGGTCCATCTATGTATAAAGGGTAAGATTTTGTCCACATGGTGATATCTTGATGTTTTAAAAGATTTTGTCATATTCTATACAATATTCTGATTTTTGTCGGAAATTGTAGCACTGCTTGTTTTTCGGTGGGGGGGAATGAGTGGTGAGAAGAAGAAATCTTAATTGTTTTGTCAGGAAATTTCTTCTTAGTTCTCAGTTGGTTCTCTAATCAGAATAGAATCTGGAGGGGACCTTGGAGGTCTTCTAGTCCAACCCCCTACTCAAACAAGAGACCCTATACCAGCGATGGCTAACCTTTTTGCCATCATGTGCCAGGAAGGGAGGGGGTGGGGGAGGTTCGCGCATGATCGTGCCCACACACATAATTCTATGCGCCCCACCCCATGCATGCGTGAGCGACCCCCCTCCCCGCTCCTGGCACGTGATGGCCCAGTAGGCCCATTTTTCTTTCTCACCTGGCTCCAGATCCTCTCTATGCATCTGGGGAGGGCGAAAACAGCCTTCCCCACCACCTCAGAGGCCCTCCGGAGGCCCGAAACGGCCTGTTTTCCAACTTTCGGTTGGACAGAAAGTGACGTTTTTTGCTGTCCCCAGCCTCCAGAGGCCTCCGAGGGGGTGGGGAAGGCTGTTTTCGCCCTCCCCAGATGCATAGAGGGGATCTGGAGCCAGGTGAAAAAGAAAAACTGGCCTTCCCTACCCCCCCCCCCCCCCGGGCCCCCCGGAGGCAGGAAACAGCCTGTTTCCCTATTTCTGGTGGGCCCAGAAGATGCGTGCCGGAGCTGAGCTAGTGTGCCAGATGACATGGCTCCGTGTGCCACCTGTGGCACGCGTGTCATAGGTTCGCCATCACGGCCCTAGACCATTTCGGATAGTCTTTTAAATTTAAACCACCACCCCCAGTGACGAAGCATCTACAACTTTTGAAGGCAAGCTTCAAAATCTACAACTAAGGAGAAATTTCCTGACAGTAAAAACAATTAACCGGTGGAACTACTTGCCTCCAGAAATTGTGGGTGCTCCATCACTGGAGGTTTTAAAGAAGAGATTGGACAACTTGTCTGAAATGCTATACTGTTTCCTGCTTGAGCAGGGGGGTGGACTAGAAGACCTCGAAGGTCCCTTCCACTTTTGTTATTCTGTTATTCTGGTCAAAATGAAGTTTCCAAGGATTTTTTTTCTTCTATGCGTTTTATTTTTATATATATGATGTTTTTAATATCCCTCTAAGGCGCCTTGAGTTGCCATGTGTGAATAGGCGGCGATATAAATTTTATAAATAAATAAAATAAATAAACTTCAGCCGGTCCATTAGGAGAGAAATACCCCAACCCAGAAGACCTGAATTGGGGAGAATGTTGTATCGGTATATATATACCGACTGTTTTCATCTCGCCTCTAGTAAAGGAGGTGCTCTCTGGGCACGCAATATGAGTCACACACTTCACAATGATGAAGCAAAGAATGTCCTTTATGAGCTGTTGCAGACATCTAGTTATTTGTGGTTGATGCATGACAACATAGTCAAACAAGTTGGGGCTTAACAGAACGCACAATCCAACAATCAGTTGTATTGCACTCTTTCTCTCTCTCTCTCTCTCTCTCTCTCTTTCTCTTTGTCTCTGTCTCTCTCTCCAACAATCAGTTGTATTGCACACTCACTCACTCTCTCTCTCTCTGTGCGTCTTTCTTTCTTTCTTTCTCTGTCTCTGTCTCTCTCTCTGTCTCTCTCTCTGTTTCTCTCTGTGTCTTTGTCTCTGTCTCTTTGTCTCTGTCTCTCTCTCTCTGTCTCTCTCTCTGTGTGTGTCTCTCTCTCTGTCTTTCTCTTTCTCTCTCTCTCTGTGTCTCTCTGTGTGTGTCTCTCTCTCTGTCTTTCTCTTTCTCTCTCTCTCTGTGTCTCTCTCTGTCTCTCTTTCTCTCTGTCTCTGTCTCTCTTACTCTCTCTGTCCCTCTCTGTCTCTCTCTTTCTCTCTGTCTCTTTCTCTCTCTCTGTCTCTCTTTCTCTTTGTCTCTGTCTCACTCTCTCCAACAATCAGTTGTATTGCACACTCACTCTCTCTCTCTCTGCGTCTTTCTTTCTTTTTCTTTCTTTCTTTCTTTTCTTTCTTTCTTTCTTTCTGTCTGTCTCTCTGTCTCTCTGTCTCTGTCTCTCTGTCTCTGTCTCTCTGTGTCTCTCTTTCTCTTTGTCTCTGTCTCTCTTTCTCTCTGTGTGTCTCTGTGTCTCTGTGTCTCTCTCTGTCTCTCTCTCTCTGTCTCTCTGTCTTTCTCTTTATCTCTCTCTCTCTGTGTGTGTGTGTTTTTCTCTCTCTCTTACTCTCTGTCTCTGTCTCTCTTACTCTCTCTGTCCCCCTCTGTCTCTCTGTCTCTTTCTCTCTCTCTGTCTCTCTTTCTCTTTGTCTCTGTCTCTCTTTCTCTCTCTGTCTCTGTGTCTCTCTGTGTGTCTCTGTCTCTCTGTCTTTCTCTCTCTCTCTGGTGCATTAAGTGGAGAGAAAGACAGAGCAACTTTGGATGGCTTCAGTCCAACAAGACCATCTGAGTTGCCAACCACCTCCTACTGAAATCTAAGTCTTGGCTCACACGAGGTGTGCTCGTGCAGCCACACAGGTAGAGTTTACTCCAGGTGTTCCATAGTCTCCCTTGCATCTTTGTTGTGATGTGATTTTCCCTGTAAGAACCTGTAAGACTAGCCCGGAACACGTGCGCGAAAGCTCCCGGAGCAAATCCTATTTGTGGGACCTGTGAATTTGTATCGTTGCTCGATTGTGGGATAGTGTCAGGATAATAGCGGGGTTGGAAGGGACCTTGGAGGTCTTCTAGTCCAACCCCCTGCTCAAGAAGGAAACCTTATATGATTTCAGCGAAATCGTTGCGCAATCTCTTCTTTGAAACCTCCAGTTACGGAGCAACCATAACTTCTGGAGGCAAGTTGTTCCACTGGTTAATTGTTCTCACTGTCAGGAAATTTCTCCTTAGTTCTAAGTTGCTTCTCTCCTACATTAGTTTCCATCCGTTGCTTCTTGTCCTGCCTTCAGGTGCTTTGGAGAATAGCTTGACTCCCTCTTCTTTGTTTCAGCCCCTCAAATAGGGGAAGATTGCTATCATGTCTCCCCTAGTCCAGAGGTGATATTCAGCCGGTTCGTACCAGTTCAGGCGAACTGGTAGCGGCGACTGTGGGTGAGGTGGGCCTGCCCTCACTCACCTGCCCCAGTGTAAAGACATCCTATTTAGCCACGTTTCTGAACTGCTGGTAAGAATATGTGAAACCCACTGCTGCCCTAGTCCTTCTTTTCACCAAAATAGACACTAACTGAATAGTTACTCAACGCACAACCGCAGCAATTCACTTAACGACAGTGGCAAGAAAGGTGGTAAAACGGGGCAAACCCCATTCAACACATGTCTCACTTAGCCACAGAAATTTGGGGCTCCGTTGGGGGTCATAATTCGAGGCCAGCTGTATTTTTCCGACATAAAACTCGCTGGGAGTTTCCCGTCAGTTCTGTGTTACAGCTTGTTCTTTCTTTCTTTCTCCGCAGCGTCCGCCGAGAACTTGGTTGGGAGCAAGCCATGGCTTGTCGCTTCAAGGGACTTTCCACCCGCAAAGATCAGCCCTGCCTCCACCTGCGCTTTTGCCCCAAAACCCAGAAATTCTTCCTCAGGTTCAAAAACTGGATTTGCAAGCCGAGAACAGGAGAAGAACTTTTATCTGCAATCCTGGGTAGCAAAACTGCTCTCCAAAGAAACTTTTGCAAACGTCCCTACTTCGCTTTGCCTGGAGAGGATCTTCTCCAAGCCTCGGGTGTGAAATAAATGTCTACTTTTTCTCTTGCACGGAACTAAAAAAAAAATGTTTTGCTTTTTTTTTTTTAAATTAAAAAACAGCTGTACAGGCAGGAATCGAATCGAATCGAATCGAATAGAATAGAATAGAATAGAATAGAATAGAATAGAATAGCTGAGTTGGAAGGGACCTTGGAGGTCTTCTAGTCCAGCCCCCTGCTCAGGCAGGAGACCCTATGCCATTTCAGACAAATGGCCGTCCAGTCTCTTCTTAAAAACCTCCAGTGATGGAGCACCCAGAACTTCTGGAGGCAAGGAGTTCCACTGGTGAATTGTTCTCACTGTCAGAAAATTTCTCCTTAGTTCTTAGTTGCTTCTCTCCTTGATTAGTTCCCATCCATCGCAGGATCCTTCCTCTGGAGTGGAGTGGGAATGGGGATTTTATTTATTTATTTATTTATTTATTTATTTATTTATTTATTTACTTATTTATTTACTTATTTATTTATTTATTGGTTCGATTTATATGCCGCCCTTCTCCGGAGACTCAGGGCGGCTTACAATGCGTTAAGCAATAGCCTTCATACTTTTGTATATACCTGCTTAGTAGGGCTTTCGCCCTTCCCTCCAAGCGGTGCTCTTTTTTATACAAAGTCAGCTTATGGCCCCCACAGTCTGGGTCCTCATTTTACCTACCTCGGAAGGATGGAAGGCTGAGTCAACCTTGAGCCTGGTGAGATTTGAACTTGCAGTAATTGCAGGCAGCTGGCAGCTAAGTACTACTTTAACAGCACTTAGACCGCTGTGTCACCCAGGATCCTTCCCCTGGAGTGGGGTGGGAATGGGGATTTTGCAGTATCCTTCCCCTGGAGTGGGGTGGGAATGGGGATTTTGCAATATCCTTTCCCTGGAGTGGGGTGGGAATGGGGATTTTGCAGTATCCTTCCCCTGGAGTGGGGTGGGAATGGGGATTTTGCAATATCCTTCCCTTGGAGTGGGGTGGGAATGGGGATTTTGCAGTATCCTTCCCCTGGAGTGGGGTGGGAGTGGGGATTTTGCAATATCCTTCCCTTGGAGTGGGGTGGGAATGGGGATTTTGCAGTATCCTTCCCCTGCCATGCCCACCAAGCCACACCACGTCCACCAAGCCACGCCCACAGAACCGGTAGTAAAAAAATTTGAATTTCACCATTGCACTAGATGGATGCGTGTGACACGCTTCGCTGGTTAACTAAAGTCCTTCATTTTTCCGGTCTTGTTCATAGTCAATTCTGAGCTGGGTCCTTTGGAGTGTTTTGCAGTTAGTCCTCGGCTTACAGCAGTTCATTTAGTGACCGTTCCAAGTTACAACGGGACTGAAAAAAGTGACCGATGACCATTTTCCACCCTTACGACCGTTGCAGCATCCCGTGATCAAAATTCACACCCTTGGCAACTGACTCATATTTACGAAGGGGGGGTGTCACGTGATCCCCTTTTGCGACCTTTTGATGAGCAAAATCAACGGGGAAGCCAGATTCTCTTAACAACCCTGTTAATAACTTAACAACTGAAGTGATTCATTTAACAACAGCGGCCAAAAAAAAAAGTCATACATGGGGCAAAAACTCACCTAAGGCTTGTCTTGCTTAGCAAGGGAAATTTTGGGTTTGACTGCGGTCATAAGTCGAGAGCCACCTGCACGCAAATACAGCCGCAAAGTCCTCCGCTGGCTTGTCTGAACCTGTTGTGTGAATGCAACCTGTGTATACCTCAAAGCTGCGGAGAAATGAGAGATTGCGGGTGTCGTGCAAAATAGGTTTCCTTTTCCCCTTTGCAAACTGGATGATTTTCCCTGCCATCTTTTTTTCCTGACCTCAGTTTTCTCGCCTATCAGCTCCCAGAATTCCACATCCAAGGTGAGCTGCTACTAGGAATTCTGGGAATTGAAGTCCCCGCAGCTGGATGTGAGCAGGTTCCAGGCTGGCATGGACGAATGATGTCTTTTTTTTAATGCTGATTTTCGGCAAAGTAAAACAGCGTTGGCATTTATCAATAAGATATTAAACCTTCATCTCACCTTTAGGTCTGGCCGGAGCCTCCTCTTCCTCATCACTGATTCCGATTCATTTTAACAGGTTCTTTTTTAACAGATTAACGGAGTTGGAAGGGACCTTGGAGGTCATCTAGTCCAACCCCCCCCGTCCAAGCAGGAGACCCTACACCATTTCTGACAGATGGCAGTCCGGTCTCTTCTTGAAATCCTCCAGGGATGAAGCTCCCACAACTTCCGAAGGCAACTTCTGTTCCATGGGTTGTTTGCTCTCAGTGCCAGAAAATTTCTCCTTATTTCCAGGTTGAATCTCTCCTTGATCAGTTTCCATCCATTCTTCCTCGTTTGGCCTTCGGGTGCTTTGGATAATTTACATATTTATTTTATTTACATATATATGAAATGTTCGGCTCCCCTTTGAGATGAAAGGGCTTCGGTGAGGCTTCGTAAATCAATAAATAGGAGGGAATAGAAAGGTGATGGTAAAATTCTTCGTCAAATTAAAAGGAAGAGAGAAAGGTGCACTTATTTTCCTGCAAGCATTCTTGACTCATTAAGTCGTTTGACTCAACCAAAAGGCAATCATAAATTAAAGAGTATAATTGCACTCAGCATGTATTCAAGCACGGGATTGACTGACACAAGTTGGAACAAATTCCTACAGAAGAGCCTCTAGCGAAAAAATCTTCCATCTTGGCGCCATCAGCATTCCCAAAGCATTCCCACATCCGAGAGCCATTTCTGCCTTCGTCTTGTCTGCAAACATTATTTGGATTTATTTCGTTTGATTTGTTTTATCCTGCCTTTATTATTTTTATGAACAACTCAAGGCGGCAAACATATCTAATGCCCTCGTTACTTCCCGCCTGGACTACTGTAATGCTCTCTACATGGGGCTCCCCTTGAAGAGCACCCGGAAGCTCCAACTGGTCCAGAATGCGGCCGCGCGGATGGTTATGGGAGCGACATGGTGCTCCCATGTAACACCTCTCCTGCGCGGGTTGCACTGGCTCCCGGTGGTCTTCTGGGTGTTGTGGAATGATGAGAACAAAGCAACATTCCTAGGTCAGCCAGAGACAGTTTTATTGCGCAAGGTTCAGAGCCAGTTTTGTACTAGAAGCTTTGAACAAAGAGAGAACTCTGATACAACGGTTTTATACATTTCCAAACAAAGGATTGTGTTAACTAAGCAGTTTATATGGTCATATACATTTGTTATATTTAATTGACATTTCCTAATTACTAAAGTTTTACATTATCCTTGCCAAACAATCATAATTCTTTTTGTAGATTACTGAAGCATAGACTCAAATCATCTTCTGACGATAGACAACTTTTAACTCGTGTGGATCCCCTTGACCTAACCAACCTTTAAGCTGTGTGTCATTAGAATGTTCCTTTCTTCTGATAACTTAGAGGCCTCCTAGAGGAACCAAAAGGATTTTGGCTGAGTTTGTACTTTTTCCAGCCAGATGCATTGCTTTTTAGAATAGAGTGAATAGAAAGTTATCCAGTGGTCATCTATCAGATCCCGCTTCATCTACATTACGGGTGCGATTCAAGGTGTTAGTTACTATCTTCAGAGCGCTCCATGGCTTAGGACCTGGGTACTTACGAGATCGCCTTCTGCTACCGATAGCCTCCCACTGGCCAGGAGGTTCCCACAGAGAGGGACTCCTCAGGGTGCCGTCGGTCAAACTATGTCGACTGGGCCCAGGGGGAAGGCCCAGGGGGAGAGCCTTCTCTATGGGGGCACCTGCCCTCTGGAACGAATTGCCCCGGGATTTACGGAGGATCCCTGACCTACGCACCTTTCATCGTGCCCTCAAGACGCTGTCGTTTCAACAAGCTGGGCTGGCCTGAATACCAAGATCAATTTTAAGTTATAGGGGTTGTCTTTGTCTTAATTGAAATGGGCCAAATTATTTAATTCCCTTTTAAACTGTTTTAAATTTTATATGTGGTCGTTTTTATTCTTGACTGTGCACTGCCCCTGAGTCTTTCGGGAGAAGGGCGGTATAAAAATTAATTAAATAAATAAATAAATAAAATAATGTTCCTTCTTCCTCCTCCTATTCCCCACAACAACGCTATGAGGTGGGTTGGGATGAGAGAAAGGGACTGGCATAAAGTCACCCAGATGGCTTTCGTGCCTAAGGTGGGACTAGAACTCACCTTCTCCTGGTGATTCGCCCAAAGTCACCCAGTCTTCTTTCATGCTTAAGGTGGAACTAGAAGTCACCATCTCCTGATGATTGGCCTAAAGTCATTCAACTGACTTTCATGTCTAAGGTGGGATTAGAACTCACCTTCTCCTGGTGATTAGACAAAAGTCACTCAGCTGGCTTTCATGCCTAAGGCAGGACTAGAACTCACCTTCTCCTAGTGATTGGCCCAAAGTCACCCAGCCGGCTTTCATGCCTAAGGTGGAACTAGAAGTCACCATCTCCTGGTGATTGGTCCAAAGTCATCCAACTGACTTTCACGTCTAACGTGGAACTAGAACTCACCATCTCCTGGTGATTGACCCAAAGTCATCCAACTGACTTTCATGCCTAAAGAGAACTAGAACTCACTGTCTCCTGATGATTGGCCCAAAGTCTCCCAGCTAGTTTTCATTGCTAAACTAGGACTAGAACTCACCGTCTCCTGGTGATTGGCCCAAACTCAGCAACCAGCTTTTGTGCATAAGAGGGGGGGATTGAACTAGAACTCACCATCCCCTAGTTTGGGTGTGTGTATTCTTTTTCCCCCATCCTTTTTAAAATGCTAAACTTTCCTTCAAACGCATTTCTAAAATCAAAAGTTTCTAATAACCTCTTTTAACTTCTTCACGTACATGCTTTGAACAAGCTTCATTCTTCAGTGACCGTGACTTGTGAGTGAACAGATTGGGCCATAAGTGCAGAGAGGCAGCTGGAGGTCATCCGTCCCATGATCAGTTACCATTGTTCTCCTCGATCTGATGTTCTCCAGAGAGGTTGGAAGCTTCTCACTGAAAACCAGAAGCAACCCCTGGTCCCATAAAGACGTGGGATGAAATCCAGAAATTGTTAACCTCTTTCGGGCCTGGCCCAAACCAGATTAGCAGGTTCCTAATGTAATGGGTGTGGATCCTTCAGTAGAAGATTTCCACAGTTGACTTTGCTCCAATGGAATCAAGGCCAGGGTGTTGTCTTCTTGTAGCAAGATGCCAGAACATCTCTGGAAACCAGCCAGGAGAAACAACTCTACTTTTGGGCCAAGTGAAGGGGAGCATTTCTTCACCGCCGACACGAGCAACCGGCCGCAGAAGACGATCGGTGAGTTGGTGGGACAGAAGAAGACACCATGTCCTCTCTGACGGAACAAGAAATCGCTGAGTACAAGGAGGCCTTCATGCTCTTCGACCGGAATGGAGATGGGACCATCACCACCAGGGAACTTGGGACGGTCTTGAGGTCTTTGGGACAAAACCCCACCGAAGCTGAACTGCGGGAGATTGTCCACAAGCTGGAAACTCACAAAAACGGGACCATTGACTTCCCGGATTTCTTGAACCTGATGGAAAAGGAAATCAAGAACAGAGATTGTGATGAGATCCGGAAAGCCTTCCAGGTCTTTGACAAAGATGGAAACGGTTACATCAGCGCCGCGGAGCTGAGGCACATCATGACCAACCTCGGCGAGAAGTTGTCCCGCGAGGAAGTCGAGGAGATGTTGAAGGTGGCGGACCTGGATGGAGACGGGCAGATGAATTACGAGGAATTCCTGAGGATGATGACCAGCAAGTGAAGAGATCTGCCATACCAAGCCGTGGAGATTTCGGCCTCCTATGACTTTTTGGCCACGTACCTCCTCCATAATGTGGCCTGGTCAGGAGGACAGCTAAGACAATCGATTTTGGTGGGACGTGATCAATGGTGGAAACCTCCATCAGACTTGGGGATGCCAACTGAACTTCAGCTGTGGTGATTTGTGGATTTTTGCTGGGATTCCCAGAAGTGTGCGGCTTCTTTTGGGATCAAAATATATTCTTTAATTTTAATGTCTCAAAAAGATATCAAGAGACCAGGATTGTAGTCTTCCAGAGAAGCTACTTCGGAAATACAGGGAGTTTTCTGCAGAAAATTGTCCCCAGTTGCTCCGGCACAAGTAATTTAACTCTAGCAAGTCAAATAAATTTCTAATTGCTTTTATCCTAACGAATTCTCAGTCCTCTCTTATTATCGTGTTGCTCTGGGACAGGATTATTATTTTTTAACAGATGGGTTGTGGTGCTGCCTTGATTCACATGTGATATATAAACCCTGGAATTTTGTGGGGGAAGGAGGGAAATCTCATTTTCTTGAATAACTATATTCCAGTTGTCTGCAGAAGATGAACTGGAGAGGTTGATTTTGGTCAAGGGCTACCTGTGCAACACACAGTCCTTTCGATCAAATGTTAATGTAGGTGTTTTTTTTTTAATATGAAGGCAAATTACTTTGATTTTTATCTTGGACAGCTTTTATTTACTTTTGCAAGCTTTTTAGCTACAATTCCACATACACCCACAAACACACTCGCAGAAAGAGAAGGAAGGAAGGAAGAGAGGGAGGGAAGGAGGGAGGGAGGGAGGGAGGAAGGAAGGAAGGAAGGAAGGAGTTAGGGAAGGAAGAATGGATGGATGGAAGGAGGGAGGGGGGAGGAAAGAAAGAAGAAAGGAAGGAAGGAAAGGAAGGAGGGAGGAAGGGAGGAAGGGACGAAGGAAGGGACAGAGGAAGGAAGGGAGGGAAGGAGGGAGGAAGGAAAGAAGGAAGGAAGAAAAGAGGAAGGAAGAAAGGGAGGAAGGAAGGAGTTAGGGAGGGAAGGATGGATGGAAGGAGGGAGGGAGGGAGGGAGGAAAAGGAAGGAAGGAAGGAAGGAAAGGGAGGAAGGGAGGGACGAAGGAAGGGACAGAGGAAGGAAGGAGGGAGGGAGGGAGGAAGGAAAGAAGGAAAGAAGAAAAGGAAGGAAGAAAGGGAGGAAAGAAGGAAGGAAAGAAGGAGTTAGGGAGGGAAGGATGGAAGGATGGATGGAAGGAGAGAGGGAGGGAGGAAAGAAACAAGGAAGGAAAGGAAGGAGGGAGGGAGGGAGGGACGAAGGAAGGGACAGAGGAAGGGAGGGAGGGAGGGAGGAAGATAGGAAAGAAGGAAAGAAGGAGGGAGGAAGAAAGGGAGGAAGGAAAGAAGGAAGGAGTTATGGAGGGAAGGATGGATGGATGGAAGGAGGGAGGGAGGGAGGAAGGAAAGAAGGAAGGAGGGAGGGAGAAAGGAAAGAAGGAAGGAGGGAGAGAGGGAGGAAGGAAGGAAGGAAGGAAGGAAGGAAGGAAGGAAGGAAGGAAGGAAGGAAGGAAGGAAGGAAGGAAGGAATCATTAACCGACAGGTGAACCTACTAACTGCAGGGCTCCAGGATTTTGCCATCAGGAAAATGTCAGAGTGATTAAACAAATGGTTGCAAGCCCCTCGACAAAGTTTCCCAATTCCTTGCTGGGGGGGGAGGGGGGGTAGAGAACCAGCCCTTCCTCGCCCTTCCATCGCTTTGAGGTCTCCAGCAAAGCCTTTGAAGCTGCCCCCCCACCCCCCCAGGAATTTCTCCGCTTTTGCAGAATAAACCAAAACACAGTTGCCTCTCGTTTCCTATCTTGCCTGGCTCAACCGGGCTCCCCACCCCCCCACCCCCCTCCCGCCACGGAGACATCTTGCCCCAGGACTGGAAAAATTGCGCCACAAAATAGAAAACAGGTTTATTTATACACACAGAGAGAGAGAGAGAGAGAGAGAGAGAGAATGGAATACGGAAAACAGATGAGGAAGAAGAAGGGATGAGGAGGGGAGGGGTCCTTGTGGGAAGCCATCTTTAGGGGAGAGAGACAGAGGTGGTAGTCTACCGGTTTGGACCGGTTCAGGCAAATCGGTAATGGCGGCCTGTGGGTGGGCCCGGGTGGGCCCGCCCACCTGCCTTCTGCCTGGGCACAATCCCGTCCTGTATCACTGTGTGTTTGACACCATACCAGTGGTGGGTTGCTACCGGTTCGCACCGGTTCGCAAGAACCGGTAGTAAAAATTTGTAGTAGTTTGGAGAACCGGTAATAACATTGGCTGGCCACACCCTCGAACCGGTCCCCGGCCCGGTCACCGCTCGCTTATCCCGCCCACCTCATCAGAGGGTTCTTTTTTTTTTTTTACTTTTGAAAGCATTTTTTTCTACAACCTCTTCGGCCGAAAAAATGCTTTTAAAAGTTAAAAAAAAAAAAGCCTCTGATGATCGCGCGGCTCAGCTGGGATCGTCAGAGGCTTTTAAAAGCATTTTTTCTACAACGTCTTCAGCTGAAGAGGAGGGGACCGTCTTAAAGCAAAGTCAATGGAGAAGCCAGATTTTATGCTACTTAGCGACGGCGGCCAGGAATGTCATAAAACGGGGCAAAACTCACTGAACAACGGTCTCCGTTATCAACAAGAACGTTGGGCTCAATTGAAGTTCGAAGTGAGTTAAGAAATATAAGTAAGTTCCTGTGAGAATTAAACACAATAAAATATAGTTATCCCCGGAGCCATTAAAATCTCCACAAAATGAGCGGCTACTGCTAGGTGATACTCGGTCTCCATTGCTCAACCTTGAAATCATTTTCTCATGACTTCCTTGAGACATACTTGTTCTGTCCCCGTTCCACTCATGCACCCCCACAGACGGCCCGGAGTTAATAAGCGACATGACAAAACTCTTTGATGATAAAGCTGGCAGCAACCCAGTGGTGAGCTGCCAATTCAGACTTTACTCACACAAAACAAAGATTAGACTGCAAGCATTCCGATAAAACAGGCAGAGTTTTCAATAATACAAGGATTAATCCAAATGCAGTCCAATAAAGCAGGCAAAGTCCAGTAACACAGAGATCATGGATTATTTCTACTTTTTGCTCGTCACAAACTGAACCGGCCACCACACCCACATTTGTGGGGTGTGGTCCAGTGACTCAGCTAATCTCTGGCACGCCTTCCCCTCTGCTGTGCACGCTTCTCCTTGCGCCGCTGTCGAGGATCCAGCCAGCTCTTATCTCCTTCGTCGTTGTCTACCTGTGGCTGCGGGGACGTGCTTGGCTCTGAACCTATCTTTTGGCATTCGGTGTCCTCCGGAGGCATTGCCAGAGAGGAGGGTGCTGGAGAGGGAGGCCTTGCCAACTCCTCTCCCTCACTCTCAGAGTCTGCATCTGTCAATAGCCCAGGCTCAGGCAAAGGAGCCACAACAGTACTCAAGGTATGTTGGGATTACAATGCCCATAATTCCCTGCTGGTGTGGCTGAAGGCCCACCTGGAGGACAGCAGGCTGAGATATTCAGGTGGGAAATGGGCAACTAGGACCTGGTGAGATTGTTGAAGGGCCTTGAGTTCCACCTCTGGTCTTCTTTGAGGAAAACCCCTAATAGTCTCATCTGGGAAGAAGGCATCTTGCCCCCAAAGGCCATCCAGATGTGGAGATTGGGAAAATGTCACTCACTTTCTTGGAAGAAATTTAGGGATTTCCAACCTGGTTAAGGAGTCCAAGATACGTCAAGGAGATTGAAGGGAGCAGCTTCAATTTACTGTAGTTGCTCCAAGGTTCTTTGATGTAGACTGCTGACCACACAACGCCTCCTCACACCATTTCTATCTCTGACATCTTGAAATCTGGCTGACCAGGCTCCTCCTGGTTCCAGTTATGAGTTTCAAAAGCAGTTGTGTGACTTTTTTGCGGCCTGAACAAAGGTTGAACCAGGCGAAGTCAATTATGAGTCCGTTCCAGCTTCTTCTGGAGTGAATGAGAAGGTTCCTCCTCTACGCTGGGAAGGAAAATCTTTGTTCCACCATGTTCATCTGGTTGAGACCTTTTTGCGGTGGCCTACAGACGTTGATGTGGTGTTGATGTCCTAAAATGAGGGGATTGTGTCAGTGAGTTCACTCCAAATTGAGACCTTCATAGGTTCTCCAGAAGTTGGCCTGTGGGTTGCTAGGACATGAACTTGGTAGGACATCTGAACTTGGAGGTTCTCTCCACTATTATATACAGTAGCTGGCCCTGTCAGTGTTGGTGGGATTGTGAATTTGTCCTTGACAGTTCATTGATTAGGGTATCGTTTATCTGGTATTAATCCCTGCTTATCTGACTGCTCTGTGAGGTCCTTGGTGCTCCCTGAGCTTGGTTGTTTTCTTGCAGACGTTTCATGACCCAACTAGGTAGCATCATCAGTGCTAGAAGGGAGTGGGGTTTACTCCCTGTTTATATACAGACTTGCCCTGTCAGTTGTTGGCAAGGGGTGTGGTTTCCTCTTTAGTAGTTTCTTGATCAGATTATTGTTTTCTGCTTGTTTGTCTGGTCTTAATCCCTGCTTATCTGGGTGTTGGTTTCTGATGAGATTGTGTTCTTATCTTTTTGTTTCCTTCTTAGCTTTTTTTAAATAAACGGGCTCTGTTAACAAACTTTTGCAATTGTGATTGTGTTTTTCCTCCCTTCGTCTTCCACCCCATTGATTCAGTGGGGAGCCAGTCTGGGTCTCTTCTCAACACTAACTTCTTTCCCTACCTTTAAGGCAGTGGTGAAATTCAATTTTTTCTTTTACTACCGGTCCTGTGGGCATGACTTGGTGGGCGTGGTGTGGCTTGGTGGGCGTGGCAGGGGAAGGATACTGCAAAATCTCCATTCCCACCCCACTCCAGGGGAAGGATACTGCAAAATCCCCATTCCCACCCCACTCCAGGGCAAGGATACTGCAAAATCCCCATTCCCACCCCACTCCAGGAGAAGGATACTGCAAAATCTCCATTCCCACCCCACTCCAGGGGAAAGATACTGCAAAATCCCCATTAAGGCAGTGGTGAAATTCAAATTTTATTTACTACCGGTCCTGTGGGTGTGACTTGGTGGGCGTGGTAGAGGAAGGATACTGCAAAATCTACTTTCCCACCCCACTCCAGGGGAAGGATACTGCAAAATCTCCATTCCCACCCCACTCCAGGGCAAGGATATTGCAAAATCCCCATTCCCACCCCACTCCAGGGGAAGGATACTGCAAAATCTCCATTCCCACCCCGCTCCAGGGGAAGGATACTGCAAAATCCCCATTCCCACCCCACTCTGGGGCCAGCCAGGGGTGATATTTGCCGGTTCTCCGAACTACTCAAAATTTCCGCTACCGGTTCTCCAGAA